ATGGACTCTCGGGTTAGGACTGTTCTTCCTGAGTTTATTTGACATCCAAACTTTGCGGTTCTAAACTCCCACTGATTTGATCATTTTTTTAATGAATCGAGCATTGTTGGAATCAACTATTCTCGTACTATGGTTAGGGCTATAAAACTTATATCCTTTATACTTTTCGGATAGCCAATGCATAACCACTGGTTGTCCTAGGATTAAGAATCTTTTTATGTGGATTATGTACTTTTACTTCTGCTTGACACCCCCACATATGAAAATGCCTCAAACTAGGTTTTTTCCCTTCCACAGTTCATAAAGTATAGTTCATAAAGTATTTTATAAAATACTTTACTAGGAACCTTGTTTACCCAATATGCAACAATCTTTAACACATGCATCCACATAGAAAACGTTAAAGTTGAATTACTCAACATACTCCTAACCACATCCTTTAAATACGACTTATCCTCTCATCAACACCATTATGTTGAGGAGTCTCAATTATAGTGTATTGCACACAAATATTTCAAATATCAAGAAACTTTTCCAATGGACTAGGATATTATCCTCTTTCATCGAACTTACAATAATATTCACCAATCTAGGGAGATCTCACAACATTTACTTATTTATCTATCTATCTTTCTATTTCATCAATGTATAACTTTGGATAGTCCAATGATTGAATCATTTTATGTAGTAGATTAATATAACCATAACGTGAGAAATCATTTATAATGGTGATTAAATACTTTACATCACCCCATGCGGGGCGTCGAATGGACCACAAAGAAATTAGTGTAGATAAGTTATAAGATTTTAATGCTTCTATTGGCAAATCTCTTTAATGTATGTCTAGTTTGATTTTATTTAATTCATTTTATACATACATCTTGATCACTAAAATTCAAATGAGAAATAGTTTCATTATTCACCATTCTCAAAACTTTTCTTCTGATATATGACCATAATCTTTAATGCCATAGGAGAACAAAATTTTTATTCTGTGCATTATGTTTAACTCCATACATAAATAGTGGCACATAATCAAGCCACCTATTATTGGGACTCTTTAATAAATTTGATTCACAACAAACGAAAATTTAATGTATATTTTTCTTTTCGAATCAAGATTTTATGTCGCGCAATCTTTTTTGAGGTAGCCTAACTTTTTACAAGAATAACACCTCATTTCTTAAATGATTAGACCTGCAAAAACTTTAAATAAGCCAGTCTTTTTTTATTTGCCTTTATTTCTCATTTTATTTCACTATTATTGGCTCTCACATCAGATATAAAGTGAATCGAGTCTTCTTCATCTAATTTATTCTCACCTCTTCCTGCACCAACACAACCTTAATTTCTTTTCAGTTCCTATTTATCTTTAATGGTGTTATAGTTCACCTAGGATTGGACAAAACCCGACAGATAGGGAGTTCATGATGAATAGAACCATAAATGAGTCTATCACATTCATTCTCATGTTTGTAAGTTTATCTTATATGTTGAACATGTTGGTCACGAGATCATGGATAGATCGGAATCAGTCGAACTTTTATAGCGGTGAGCTCGCTCATGAAACTTTCCACAATAGACTTTTTCCGTAACTTTAAATGGAGATAGTTCCTGGATTTTTAATTTAGGATATCTTTTGCATTATCAGCCTTAATGTTATCCGTCATGATTAATTTCATAAAATTTAAACACAACCTATTTGATCGCTCACATACCCTACAAAGAGTTACCTGTACTTCGAAGCTCTCATCAGTATTGGTTGTGGGCGCTTCATCAATAATTAGAGTATATCCAAATAGTGCACCTAATTGAAAATGGATATGCTCAGACCATTCACTGAAGTTCAATCCATTAATTTTTGTAATAATATTACTTGATGGAAAAACCAATTTAAAACTTGCAAACTTTAATAATGCTATTTAATTAAGCGCTGAGAGAAAATTAATTGATTCAGAAATCTTTTAAATTATACATTTAAATATACCTTTGGGCAATACTTAAATATATAATATATTTGATTGATGCCTAAGAGGAAAGATCTTTAATAGAAATTATAAGTAATGTCATTAATTTAGCAGTTATCTTGGACAAACTCACTAATAACCTAACTTTAATTATAATTTCTCTTTTATATATTAATCCTTAATAGAAATTATACAAACTTGAGTCAACTAGCGGCTATCTTTGGACAAACACGCTAATTAACATCGCTTTAAGGGCTAAATTTCATTTTGAGTCCACTATGTTGACCATTTTCCGAAAAAAGTCCATCATATAGGGTGTCATCAATAATGGTCCACTAAATTGTCACTTTTAATCAAAACTCGTACAAATGCCAACATAGTGGACTAAAATTGATTATCACTTTTAGTCCACTACGTTGGCATTTGTACGAGTTTTGATTAAAAGTGACAATTTAGTGGACCATTATATATGACACCCTATATGATGGACCTTTTTCAGAAAATAGCCAACATAATGGACCATTTTTGAAATTTTGCCTCACTTTAAGTATTTTTTTTTGCCGAAACGATAGAGATTCTATATTATAAAAGCGCGAACAAAGTTCGAATACAACGAGGACACCAAATAGAAAACTGAGAGGTACTTATCAAAGTACCTAGAACCTCAACACAAGAGCAAAGAAAAAACAACAAAGGAGCAATGCATCTTTCCACTGCCAAAGGCCTAGATAGAAACATTCCTTCAACCAAAAACTAGACAAGGATAAGAAAACTGACACACTACATTAAGAACCAAAACCAAAAAAAGAACTGCAAGAAAAAGAAGAGAATTCCTGCCAGTCTTTAAGGGCTGCAGCAATCACAATTTGATCAGGCATAAGAGAGTTGTTGAAGATCCAATGGTTCCGAGATTTCCAGAGCCACCATAGCAGGTAGGTGGACAACTAGATTCTATCAACTACATTTCCAGTTTGCTTGATAAGGCTGATCTGGTGCCATCAAGATTTAAAGGAGTGAGTATGGTGTTGAAGACCATCCCAATGCACAGGACCATGGTCCCAGATTCTTGCAGCTCTAGAACAGGAGAACAACAAATGCTCCACAGTTTCCTGCTTTTCCCCACACAGAGAGCAGATGACATCAACCTCTATACCTCTTTTCCTCAGGTTAACAGCTACTGGAAGAGTGTTTGTGATGCACTTCCAAAGAAAGTGTTTTAGTTTTCCTTGAATCTTCAACTTCCAGCATCTGTGAAACAGTTTGTTTGGTTGAGCACTTGATGAGCTTGGTTCTGGGATGTCAAGCTGTTGAAGCTTCAAATCAGCAAGATGTTTGTAAGTGCTTGCAACTGAAAATTCTCCTTTGGAATCAAGACCCCACAGCCATCTATCTGGCCTTTCAGGGTTCAGAGTGTTTATCTTGAGGATGGTTATACTCTCATCAGCATCAAACACTTGGTCAACTAACCAGGAGTTCCATTCCTTCCCATTATTTTGTAGTAAATCCTTGACCCAAATAAGATGGCCTCTTGCAATTTCAATCAATGTGGGATGAGGTTTCTTTAAACCAGGTACCCAGTTCACATCATCAATTTTTGTGGAAAGACCATTCCTGATTTCAATTTTAAGGCTTTTGGCAAACAGAGGCATCACAGAGAGCCAATTGTTCCAAAGCCAAGATCCTTTTTGAGATTTCACATATTTGTAGATGGAGCTGTTAGAAAAGTATCTATCTTTAAGAATCTTACTCACTAACAGGTCTGGATTTGTAGCAATTCTCCAAATATGCTTGCATATGAGGGCTTTATTAAATAGGCTGATATCAAGAAATCCCAGGCCCTCTTTGAGTTTAGGTAATGTAACTCTCTCCCATTTCCTCCAATGAACACCAGAATCAGAATTACTGCTTGAATGCCACCAAAAATCAGCACAGAGCTTAGAAATTTCTTTGCAAACCATCACTGGAAGCTTAAAACAGGTCATTGAGAATATTGGCAAAGCTTGAATGACATACTTGATAAGGACTTCTTTGCCAGCTGGGGATAGAAGTTTATTCTTCCAGCTCTGCACCTTTGCTCTGACTGAATTGAGGATAAAGTCAAAGACTTCTTTTTTTGATCTGCCAATTCCCAAGGGAAGGCCAAGGTAGCTGGTTGATCTATGAGGAACAATGCCATGGAGGATATTGCATATTCTGTCTTTCAGAGCCTGAGGAGTGTTCCTACTAAAGAAGATGCCAGATTTTTGCAAGTTGACTCTTTGACCCGAGAAAAGCCTATATTTCTCCAACAGGTTGAGAAAGTGTCTAGCCTGGTCCACACCTGCCTTACTGAATAAAAGTGAATCATCTGCAAAAAGGAGGTGGGAGATGGCAGGGCCATTTCTTGACATTTTGATGCCTTGGATACTACCTTGGAGTTGTGAGTCTGTGAGCAAGGCATATAACAATTCTGCAACAATTATAAAAAGGTAGGGGGACAGGGGGTCCCCCTGTCTTATTCCTCTTGAGGGAGTAATGTAGCCACTGATATTGCCATTAGCTTTGAAGGATATAGTTGAAGTAGAGACACAGACCATGATAAGCTTCACAAAGTCAGGGTGGAATCCCATTTGGTTCATGATTCTCTGAAGACAGCTCCATTCAACCCTATCAAATGCCTTCATAAGGTCTAATTTCAAAGCCATGAAGAAATGAGGACCAGTGGAGTGTCTGTTGAGGAAGTGAAATGCCTCCTGAGCAATGATGATGCTGTCCATGAGTTGTCTATCTTTCACAAAAGCTGATTGATGAGGGCTTATGCAACTGCTGAGGCAATTTTTAATTCTCTGAGCAAGGACTTTGGATAAAATTTTATAAACCACACAGCAAAGGCCTATGGGCCTAAATTGACTCAAGGATTCAGGATTTGGAACTTTGGGAATAAGAGAAAGAATGGTGTGGTTCAAGTATTTCAGGAGCATTCCAGATTGAAAGAAGCTGAATAAGGCATCCAAAAGGTCAGGTTTGATGAGGGACCAAAAATGCTGATAGAACAAGGCACTCATTTCATCCTCACCTGGTGATTTCTCAGGGTGTAGAGAAAAGAGAGCTGACTTTATTTCATCCTCAGAAACAGGTTTAAGGAGATCTTGGTTCATATCATCAGAAATTGTTCTAGGGATTAGCTGAAGGATAGAGTCACCATCCCAGGAGCCCTCAGTGTGAAAGAGATCAGAGTAAAATTCAGAGATGTGATTTTCAATATCAACCCGAGAGGTGAGAACATTACATTGAGGTGTGATGAGTCTGGATATAGCATTCAACTTCATCTTTTGAAGAGTATAAGCATGAAAAAATTTGGTGTTCCCATCCCCTTCTTTAATCCATCTCAGCCTAGATTTTTGTTGCCAGTATTGTTCTTCAAGTCTGTGAGCTTCATTGAGATCATTTCTAGTCTTGTTCCACTGATCCCAATAGTCCTCTGCTTTATCTTCCCTCAAGATTTCCAGCTTCTTGGTTAGGACTTCAATGGTCATTTGATTTTTTGATTTCAGCTGGGAACTCCAAGTTAAAAGAGCCACTTTAGTGTTCTTTACCTTCTCCTTGAGCCTAAAGAAAGGGGTACCTTCAGTGTGCTGGGACCAGGCTGCTTCTACTGTTTCTTGAAATCCTTCCATCCCTATCCACCTCTCATCAAAGTGGAATCTGGCTGTCCTCTTGTTGTTTTGTTGCCCCAAATCCAGCAGAAGAAGAGAGTGGTCTGAAGCACTTTTGATCTTATTTGAAATGCAGGCATTTTGATAGCTTTGGGTCCAAGAGAAAGAGGCAAAACCTCTGTCTAGTTTCTCTTCCACCATGCCTTCTCCATCTCTGAGGTTACACCATGTAAATTTGTAGCCTTGCAAAGGAAGCTCATCCATTCCCATTCTATTGATGAAAGAATTGAACCCCAGAAAACTCCTGCTGCTCTTTTTGATACCTCCCAATTTTTCTTCAGCTGTTCTGAGATCATTCCAATCTCCAATAGTGAACCAACTGTCACCCCAATGATCTTTATCTTCTAACAATTCCTCCCACTGAGAGATTCGAGCCTGTTTACAAGTGCTAAAATACACAAAAATGCCCCATTGAGGGGGATCAAGGCCTAAAGAAAATTCAACAGCAATATAGAAGGATTTTTTCTTAATTTGGATAATATTTACATAGAAATCCCAAAAGAGAAGAAGACCCCCACTTAAGCCAACAAGACTAACATAGGCTAGCCTATCATCAAAACCCAGCTTTCTAGCTACAAACTTAACAAAACCATTAGATTTTTTAGTTTCAGAAAGAAAAAAGAAAACTGGGTGGTGAGCCTTAAGAGACTCTCTGATTTGGGAAATTGTAGAGGGCCCACCCAGCCCTCTACAATTCCACACCGCAGCTAGAATTTGTCACTTGGGCGCCATTCCAGGCTGGCCGCCCCCACCTTACTTGATTCAACCTTCTGCTTTTTGTTCTCCTCGAGAGCCATCATGCTGGAACAGTTTTCTTCATTAGATTCCTCAGTGTTGTCTCTGGTTCTCTTAGATGATTTGGGTTCTTCCTCAGTAGAAGAGCAAATGTCCTGCCTTTTGAGTCTTCCCAATCTTGAGGAGGTTCTCTTCCACACTTTAGTTTTGTAGGCTTGTGGGCTCTCAATAGCCATATGAGGAGAGATGTCATTTGGAGAGGAGGTTTCAGGCCCCTCAATTTCCATATCTTTACTAACATGTTGCTGAGGTATGATTTGGAGATTGTCCTCTCTCTGGATTCTGAGGGACATAGGTGTGGTTCCTTTGTGGGAAATGATTTGATGAGATCCCTTAGAGGTGGATGCTTCTGAAGCTGAGGCTTTTTTGTGCGATGGAGATCCTTCAATTGAGAGAAGTTTGTTGCTGTCATGATTAGGAGAAGGGGAGTTAGATGCATGTGACTCCACATTAACTGGGGAAGAAGGGTGTTCTTGTCTTGGAGGGCTGTGAGACCCCTGAGAGTTAAGACCTGCCCAGTGGTTACTTTCAGTAGCTCTCATCCACGGCCCATACTGTCCTTCACATAGAGTCTTGGAACTTATATTAGCTAGCCTCTTAGAACAAGCTCTATCTAGATGCCCGATGATTCCACAATAATGGCAGTGGTTGACCAATCTCTCATACTTGAAGCCAACACTTACTTCCTGATCATCTAGTCGAAGATTAGCACAACGAGGCAACGGCTCATTTAAGTCAATCGAGACCAGCAACCTCATAATTTTCCCCCCATGACTGCCTGCACCGACTATAACCACATTGTGAGTGTGTTTGAAGACTTCTCCAATCTTTAATCCCACCTCTGTACTAAGCCAATCAAGAGGAACATTGAATACCTGGACCAGAGCTTGAGTTCCTGTGAGTGATTGATCGAAAGTCCTCTCTTCCATTCTGAAAGAACCATGTACTGATTGTCGTATGTCCAATTGATTCCTTTGGCAACCTTCTCTTTGTCCTCTTTCTCTTGGAAGATGAATTGGTAATAGTTGGGCCCAAGGTCCTTGATGTCCATAGGCTGACTTAAGCGCCAGATATTACTTAGAGCTCGCTTGAGCCCTATCCAGCTGGCTTTCCGGTCACCGATAACCTTTCCGAACAAGCTCCGATAACCTTTCCGAACAAGCTCTGTTGACATTCATCTGCATTGATCTTGATATCATCACAACGAATGTCGATGAAATTATGTTCTTTCTCAGATAAGGATACACTTTGAAGTTTTTGAGAGAGTTCCTCATCTTGACCTATACAGTTTGGGGAGTCCATGAACCCTAATTTGAAATAAAAAATCGAAGCTGAGACAAAGGAATTGAAAGAACGCTGAAGAAATAGAGAGCAAGGATGCAGATGGAAGGTTGAAAGGAAAATTCCGAGAAAACAACAGCTACTGAGATTTCGCTCCCCGGCGAGAGAATTTGAGGCGCTCCCCGGCGAGAGAATTAGCTAAAACCTTTTTCACTTTAAGTATAACTTCTTTTAAATATTAATCCTTAATAGAAATTATATAAATTTTGATCAACTAGCGGCTATTTTTGGACAAACACGCTAATTGACCTAACTTTAATTATAATTTCTCTTTTAGTTGTCATAAATTATAAACACATGGCCCACCTTTGCGTGTCCTCCTAGTTTATAATTCATGACATCAATCATTCAAAGATATAAGTTAAGACAATAATAAGGCATCCTTTCATATTTGAATAATCGATATTTTCATCTAATTTAATTATCTATCCCATAAATTAACTAGGCCACTTTGGTGACTAACTAGTTTTCTTTCATTGATAATATAATTAATAAGTATTTGATGTACTTATGAGATTATAAAACTATGACGAATCTCGATGAGTTGACAACCAACTCTAATATAGTTCATATAAAATTTAATACAGAACTAATAAAGCCTTTAAGAACTAATCGCCTTCATCAACCTTAATTGCTATAATATAGTTCTATTATAACCAATTGAAAATTGATGGAAAACATTTCAGAAATCCAAATACATTACTGGATAATCATTATGCATATATTTATCAATTTAATAGGCAAGAGTCCGAATAAAAAACGTTGAGTGCTGCTTTATTATTGTTTGAACAAAACAAATATAGTATGAAACAAACCATTAATATTCAAACGTTTGAGTTCCGTAAGAATTCAAAATGATTTCAACTTTAATGTTTAATTCTCTTCAGAAGAAAACTCAGGCAAAATTTCATTTTTGGTCCTATAACTTGGTCATAGTCCAAAAAACCACCCCTATATTGTCCAATTTCAATTTAGGTCCTATAATTTGTCCATTTAATCATTTATGGTCCTTTTTTATCCCAACCCAGGATAAAATTTTGACGTGGCATTTTTTATCTGATGTGGCGTGATTGTTGGTTTTATGTGGCAGGATACGAAAAGGCGCGAAATGAATCAGATTTACCCCCCAAAAGTGCAACTTAATGGACATTTCCCAATTTCTCTCTCAAAACCCTAACATTTTCTACTCTCAATCTATCAGAATTGACCCGCAATTTCTCAAGAAAATCTTCTAATCTCAACTCCCGAAATTCCACATAATCGAAATTGCTTGAAGATGGTCAGGAAAAAAAAAACGAAATCAGCGACCTCTGCGTCTCAACCTGTGATGCAACAATCTAAGAAATCGAAATCGGCGACCTCTCAGTCTCAACCTGTGAAGCAGCAATGTAAGAAATCGAAATCTGCGATCGAGACCTCTCACTCTCAGCAATTGAAATCTTATATTCCACTCAAGGAGAAATCGCAACCAGAATTTGATGTAGACAATATCAGTTTGATCGAGAAGGTTGCTCTAGGTGTTAAAGTCCTAAATTGCGAGATGAAATTGCGGCGAAAAGAGCTTGACTACCTTCCCCCTCCTAGATATGGTGAGTATAATTTTTGAAATTTGGGTTTTTAAAATTAGGGTTTCTAATTTTATGTTGCTGATCAACAAAAATTTCTATTCGGTTTGTAGGAACCCAAAGTGAGTTTTTCACAGTTGGTCTACGTTATGGAGGTGAATTTGACCAAGGTCACAACTATGCAGCATATCTAGGAGGTTCTTCAATTATTTTTGATTTTGTTGACCATACAAAGGTATGTCTCGATGATTTCAAAAAGCTTGCTAAAAGAATAGGTATAAAGAAACCTTTGAGATTGTATCAAAATAAGGGACATATGTTTGTGTTAGTAAGCTCTCAGCGTGATTTAGGAAAAATTTGGGAAGATAATAGAATGTTTAGAGAAGTAAACTTGTATGTTGATGAGCTGAGAGAAATGCAAAAAGAACAGGAACTGGGTGATAAAGGTGAGGTTCAAGCTGGTGATGTGAGCTTGGGTGAGGGAGTTAAGGGAGATGGTGAGCTGAGTGAGGGAGGTAAGAGAGATGGTGCTATGAACTTGGGTGAGGGAGTTCAGGGAGATGGTGATGATGCTGTGAGTTTGGGTGAGGGGAATGAGGGTGATGATGCTGTGATTTTGGGTGAGGGGAATGAGGGTGATGATGCTGTGAGTTTGGGTGAGGGGGATGAGGGTGATGATGCTGTGAGTTTGGGGGAGGAGAATGAGAGAAACTTAAGTGATGAAGGGGAGTGTCTTGGTAGTGATGAATCCAGTGATGAACTTTACGATTGGGAGTATGATATGGGGGATGACAAAGTAGATGATAAGTTGTTTGTTGAGAATGTTGATAATGATGTTGAATTGTTAGATGATCAGAGTGAAAATCAACCTGAAAATGATAATAAAAATGAAAATGAAAATGAAAGTGAAGGGGATGAAGATGTGGTATACCAAGAGGATTTAAATAGTGAAGATAGCTCTGATGAGGACAAAGTGAGTTATAATATCCTGTGATTAATCCTAATGACTTGTATGAGCCAAACTTCAAGATAGGTATGATGTTTGCCTCAAAAACTGAGCTTAGGACAGCTATACATTCAAGTGCCATTAAGGCAAAAAGAACTGTGGTAATTAACAAAAATGTGAAGCAGTACCTTAGAGCTAAGTGTGGCGATAGTAATTGTCCATGGAAGATTAGTGCAGTTAGGGTGAAAAATGAGCAGACCTTTCAAGTTAGCAAGCATAACCCTAGACACACTTGTGCAGTGACTGGAAAGGTAAAAAATTTGAAATCCACTTAGTTGGCTGGGAAATATGCTGCTGTTTTTCAAGATGATCCTCAGAGGGCTGTTAAGAGATTTTGAAATCAAGCAGCAAGATAGCTTAGGGTTCACATTTCTAAATAACAAGCATACAGAACCAAAATGCATGCCATTGCAGATAAAAAAGGTGAACCTAAAGAGCAGTATGCATTGTTGTGGGATTATTGTGAAAAGATTAGAAGAAACAATCCTGGTAGTACAATTGTTTTGGATACAATTTCTGAAAGTGGGAAGAGTGTGTTTAATAGATTATATATTTGCTTGAATGCTTTGAAGTTGGGATTTAAGGCAGGTTGCAGGAAACTGTTTGGTGTGGATGGTTGTCATCTGAAAGGTCCCAATAAGGGGATTTTGCTTATTGCTGTTGGGATTAACCCCAACAATGCACTTTACCCATTGGCTTATGCTGTTGTTAGTGTTGAAAACTTTGACAATTGGGAGTGGTTTTTTATTCTTCTGAAAAATGATTTGGAGATTGTCAATCAGCATGAATGGACCATCATTTCAGATAAGCAAAAAGGATTGATACAGGCTGCACAAGCTATTTTTCCAAATTGTGATCACGGGTT